AAACTGCGGAGTCGCGCGAGGACGCCGTCCGAACGAACTTTCGCGTCGGGAAAACGTCGTCTCCGACGTCGCCGGGAAACAGAGAGAATTCTCCGCCGGGGTCTCGCAAAAAGCCCGCATTTCGCGTTCTTACGAAAGAATGAGAGGAGGGGGAGAACGACCGGTCGCTTCATCGAAAATAGCAAACGGTACTACTTCGAGTGACATTAATCGCCGTCCTGGTTTGCATAACGCGTGGGTGAAGCGCGATAAGGACGCCGTGCAAAATGCATAACCGACGTGGCGCGCGCGACTGAAGCCGCCGCCGAAGGAAGGAAAGTAATAGTCGTGCAAACACGATTATGCTAAACCTTTCCTATGGATCCGGACGGAATATGTCACTCGGTAATTCCGCGTCGCCGCCGCTGCCGTCACCGTTGTCGCCGCCGCCACCGACGATCGATGAGACGCGGTGGAAGAGGAGGCTGCGAGGGAATTATATAAGGTCGTACGAGTATACTTGAATCCAGGTGTAACATCTGCCTTCAAGGTTCGACGTCGCGTTCTCGCTTTTGTGTACAGGTAATTGCTGCACGAATACGCAATGCAGTTCCCCGTGGCGACTCCGCGCGCGCGCTTCGCACGTCGTAGAATAAATTACGGCCGTGTGACGAAAATTGCATCGACACGGCCGACCGTCCAAATTCAATCGCCGCTGCCGCCGTCAAAATTGCGCACGCACTTCCCGACGGTTTCAGTTCAATCTCAATAACGCTAATAATGCTAATTAAAGGCGCAAATAGAAATTCATTCGCATGTCCTGAAGCGACGGAAGAGTCCGGAAGATTGCGGGTCGCGCGACGAAATCTTAAACGTTCGATTGTCGTGAATTCGCGCGGGACGGGAGGGGCAGGGAGAAGCGCAATTATAACAGAGGAGATAACACGATCAATGAGAAGCTGATTAACCGAAATTTAAAGTAACTTGGAATAAAGTTCCTGCCGGAGAGAAAGAGAGGAGCGCGGTGAGAGGCCGTGAAAGAGACGACTAATGACAGGTAGGGGCTATTTTAAGACGTCGACGACCGGTTTGTACGAGTCACGAAGAGGCTCGCCCGTGTACCCATTCCGAGTGATTCGTACTGACGAGCCGGAATTTTTTCGTATCGCGATACGCTCGAGTTCCACTCTTGCGCGCGCAAGAATCGGAACGAAGAAAGAGAAACACGCGCGACGGAATTAACGTTTCCCTTTGTTGACAGCGAAGCAAAGGCGGAGGATATGATTGGAACCTAGTGCAAATTGATTGATCTGCGCGAAACCCAAATTATCATTTTAATGGCTTCGCGAGAGAGCACAGAAAAATATCGCTGAGACATATGCCAGTTGTTATCATCTATTATCATGTATCAATCGATATATTTTTTTTTTCTTTTATTAGTGAGGATGTCTATGAATAATTTAAAACTTTGACACATAAATCAATTAATTCGGAATGAAAGTCTCACGGGTCTGTAATTTGTTTCTTATTCTAAATTCTTAACGATATTCGATGAATAATAATCACGTTTCATCGAAAGTGAATTTCGTATGGTTCACTCTTGAACACATCAAGAATTCAAGTTCTTTAGCTTACAAGATTACAGCGCTGCCATCCAGTCGCCGGGGCAAGAAAAAGTAAAATAATGACTGCTTCTTGGCAGAGGAAGTGATAAAGAATGATTTCTCGGACATGAAAATAGTGACCAGAAGTGACGTTTTCGTCAAATTCTGGGAATAACTGCACAGTAAGGAAAGACATTTTGTGGTTGTGTTGAAATCGATCCTTGTCAAAATCTTTGTGTTGAATTTTTAATACATTCGTTAAAACTCGTTAATTTAACACATTAAAAACTAGGGGCATATATAAGAAGAACAAAAATAATGCTTGCATAACAGTTCTTGTTTCAGTTGCGGCAACAACAAAGTAAACGAGATCTCGAAGATACGCGACCGGTTTTTCATAATCAATACCGATCTTTCGGTGTAAAATCTCACGACGATAAAATTCACAGCGAGATTTATGACGGATCGTAGGCGGGAATGCATATGACGAGAGTTATTTGCATAGCGCGTTGATTAAATAACGCAAATATCAGGCGATGTTGACGATCTGCGGATGAAGGAATCAATAGTAAGTAATATTTCCGGTTTCGATGAGGAGGTTCCAAGTGAATCAAATTCCATTCGAAAAAGCACGAATCATTCGCGACTTCCGGAAAAATCAATTGCACTCTTAAAAATTCCCGTGTCTCAACGATTTCCTGGAAGTTGAAGTACGCGCGATACGTGTAAGGTAAAAAAAAAATGATGCAGTGTGAGCATTTAACGATTTAGAAACTCCCGACCGATTAATCGGCCGGGAGTGTATCGCGTCGTGGGAAATATTGCTCGCGGAAACATCGGTCGAGAAACAAACAGCGTTTCGAGAACTCTCGGAAAAATTCATCATAAAACGCCGGGAAAATTCAATTTAACTTAATCTTCTCGAGCACGGCAAGAGGGAGTTACAGCGGCTGGGTCGCGCTGAACCCCACAGTTGTTTCAACAACAAATAAAATACACCCGTAATATCCAATTTTCCGGGCTTGTGTAACGCACGTACACGCGGGAAATCAAATCCGCGCGTGCGTTACGTAACGCAATTAAAATCGAAACTTTCTACGTGTTCGATTATTCGCCGGCGAGCATGACCGTCGGAACGATCGTTCGGTTCCGTCAGCTCGCATAGGTTTTATGGCGAATTGTGAAGGTAAACCGGCGCCGACGACTTTTCGCGACGACTTCCGCGAATAAAGTCTCTCTCTCTCGCAGAGAAATCGCGGCGACCCGACGAGGAAACTTTCGTGAAATTTTCTCGCGGCCGCCCGTTTGTGGAAACGCGTATCTCGCGAAATCGAAAATGCCCCCCCCCAAATAAAAACGTCGCGTCGCTACCAGATGGAGTACCGCGAAAACAGGACGACGCGACGCCGGAATTTAATCTCGATCGGCTGAACGCCGTCGCGAGCGCGCCAGTCCTATTTATCATTTTGCGTTTCGCGTTTAATTTCTCGACCACACGTCCCTCCATCGGAGAGAGAGAGAAAGAGAGTGTGTGTGTGTATGTGTATGTCCGATTGTCCCTCGTCAACAATATTTTTCACTCTAAACAGTAGAACAAACAAGTCTCCCTCGCTCAAGGGAGAATCGCGGGAAAACAGAACGCGCTTAAATATTTGCGCGCAAATATCGTTTTTTTCGGAAGGCTCGGGATGTATTAACCGAAAAAGACTTTGCGAAACTTCGCCTTCCGGCCGGAGCGCTTATTTGACTAATATTTCCGGAACTTCGTTCGCACGTGCGGTCCTCCGCGTCGCGCAAATATCGACGGTAAGACGCGCGTTTTGGTTTTTATTTCCGTAAAATATTGCCGACGTACGTGCCGTTATCTGAAACGGCAAAGCTTTCCCCGTCGTCTGGCGGACGACAAGATTTCCTCGAGCCTCGATTATGACTTCAACGCCGTCGACATTTCCAAATATTTACCTAAGCGGCACCTGCTTATTCGCGACTTTTCCCTCAAAATCGAATCCATGAGACGCGACAACTTATCGTAGCGACGACAAAAGCACTTGATAACATTCATCGCTACGCGCCGAGCAAGCGATGCTATTATTTATATATGCGCGCGACGACGATTGGAAATAATATAGTCGCCGATAAAAGAAGAGAGAGAAAGAGAGAGAATTACTGTGTGTTACGTACGTAGGGGCAAAATTTAAAATTATTCACGTAAGGTGATCGCATTATAATAACACGGTCATCGAAAATTATGCGGCATGTGGGCTCGACGAGATCGCGAAAGGCGGAATTTTCGCCGAATTATTGGAAATTATCGAGAATTAATTAAACGTCCAAATTGCATCGCTATTTTAATCGTCATTCTCGCGCATTCGAGGCCGGCCAGGGACGAACGTACGGAATACACGCGCCGACGTGAAAGTCACCGCACGAATTGAGTATTAATATTTGGAATTATCGCGTATATCGGCCGTTAAGGCCGCTCGTAACTCGTGCTTTAACCGCGCCAATTTTTCTGATCGGCGCGCGAAACATTTTCACACGAGCAGCTCTGAATCGATCGCTTAACGATCATCGATCGTGCTCGATTATGCTTCAGCGTGAAATTTATTTGTCGGATAATTACGCGACGTAAATTTGAAATGGGGAAAGAGAAAGACTCTCAGGTGCCTCGTCCCTCTCAGGTGCGCAAACGATGAATATCTTCTTGTTCAATGGTGTCATCCAGAATACATCCAACCATATAATATGTAATCATGGCATATGTACTTAAATTATATACACAACCTAATCCTCGACCACGCAGGGAAAAAGAAAACCCAGAGAGACAGCACAAACTTTTACAAGACTTCTGAAAGACGTCTGGAAAAACATGTAAAAAAAATGAGAAAGTGTTTCGAATATCTTGAAGACATCTTTCAGAAGTTCGTGCTATCTGGAAACTTCTTCGTTTCAGTGGAACAATATATAATATTTAACGAAATACATTTTTTTTTTGCTGAAAACCAAATATTTATATTTCCTCTAAATAATACTGTTTTCTTTTAATCAAACGACATGATTCGTTCTAGCGAAACAACAATATTTTTATTCGAACAAAGTGATATCCGATAAAAAATTATGTTAAACATTTACATTAACCAAGTGAAACAAACGCGTGTACTGAATCCAGAGAAAACCTTTTTCCTTTGCGTGCGTTTAAGTACGATGCCTCAATGAATTTGCGTACATTCCATGTCCGCCTATGTCCTACTTCGATTACTCCACTAGAGACTAAATAGATCCCTCGGCAAATCACTCTAAATCGATCGCGCCCAGACTTTTACTCGTCCAACTAGGGGGGTACCATTATCGTGGCGCACTCGGTGCGAGCGCTCCCGCAAAGGTCAAGCTACGTCGTCAAGCAACCGCGATAAATACCTGGTGACCGAGTCCGGCACGAAGATGTTCCACCAGGACGGTCTCTTCTGCCGGGTCTGCGGATAGAGCCCTTCGGTGCTGCCGGTCTGCGCCGGTGCGACCACACCTTTCCGCCTTTTGCGATCCACCACCTTGGGCGGCTTGGCGAGCGGATGCCACGATTTCCGGCGACCCTTCTTGGCCTCCTGCGCCGCTTGGGCGCGGTCTTCGTTCTCTGGGATATCATGGTTCTCCTCCAGCAGATCCTCCGACACGTAGAACACCGAGCCTCTCCTGCCGGTGTCGCTGCTCCTCCTCTTTTCCTTCGGCTTCTCCTTTACGTTATCCTTGCTGTTGTCCTTGGCGTTCTCCTTCTCGTCGCCGAATATGCTGGCTCTGCGGGCCCTTTGAAAGAGACTGTCTCGTCGGGCCTTCAGGTCCTCCAGGACACTGTGTCGGCGGCCCTTGCCGTCCCGCAGGATCGCCGCCGCGTTTTCGCGCTGCTTGCCGACCGCGCCGAGGATCCTCGCCAAGGAGGACTCCTGTTCCTGAATCATCGCCGGGATCGAGTTGGTCGACGCGTACTTGGTGGTCGTATGACCGTTCTGCGGTTCGTTGCTGATGTACATCTTGGCGGCTGTTTCCATGCTAATCGGAGTAACCGTACGTGTGGCCGAGGCGTTTTCACAATCGCGCGCCAGACATCGCGCCGAGAGAGAGAGGAAGAGACACCGGTCGAGTTCGCGTGCCTTGTGCCGATGTCACCGAGGGTTAGCTCGCCTCTGGATTGATTCAGCTGCTCCGTCGGGTTAACGTCTCACAGGGACGGAGAGGTATTCGCTGATTCTGCGACGCGTCGTGGAAAGTCGCAGTTCCGCGAAGCCGAGTCAATATCTTATGCCGGCAAGATCGTCGAAGGTTAGGACGACGCGCACAGAATATGTATACACACCGAGGGACGGCCGCGAACGGATTGCGACGAATCTCGTTAGCTCTCTCTGTCCGATAACGTCCACTCGCGTGCAACTTGTTGTTATACCCGAGAGGGTCACCGCGGATCACGTTATTCACAGAGATTAGATATCCACGGGTTGGGGTCTTCCACGGGCTCCAAGCGTGTGCAAGCGAAGACGACTATCGCGGCGATCCCGCCGATTTAATATTATACACCGAGAGGCGAGGTCGCTGAAGGTTGCGCTGCGGTGTCTGCAAATTCCACAACGCCGCGAAGGGAATGAAGCTCTCTCTCTCGGGCTCTCTTCTTTCCCGTAATACTGTCGATTTGACGATCCCACCGTATACCGGGTGACCGTCCGTAACTCGCGTCACAATCGCGTTTCGACTCGCCGTTCCGCACGAATTCTCACCGAATGGGATCAACGACGATGACGACGAATATTATACCTGCTGTGGGTGGCGATTATTGGCAGGCGGGCGTCATTTTTCACGAAGGCACGCGACGGAGCGTTAAAGCGCGATCGGCATTATTCCACCGGCGCGGCTCGTCGGTGAAAGCAGCCGTACGGTCGACCGCCTTTTCACTCCCGACGTCGACGACGGACACCGACGCGGTCACTCTCGTGAAACGCGAATGCTACCACCTCGATAGGTGCTGTGTATGTGTGTACCGTGTGTATACACGTGTTACGTGCCCCGGTCCGCCGCGACGGATACGCCCGTGCAGAGAGGAGAGCACGTAGAGATCTACGCGATCGTTGACCCTGCGAGGAGGGGACTGACCGTTTATCTATATATTTCTTTTCTTTCCTATATTTCTGTCCCTCTATTTATTCGAAACGTCCCAACGCGTCATCATCGTTCGCCCACCTTCGGTCCACGTTGCGGGTGGACGATCATCCGGTGATTTAATAGATCGTCAACGTATTTACGGACCGCACATTCGAGGAACGGAGGCCGAGGACGAATAATACGAACGAATTCCCCGGTGTTTTCGCGATTCCTCGACCCTGTTACCTCGTCAGCCCTCACCTGCCGGAGGCAGCAGGTACGAGGCTCCGTTGTTTCGCATCACACTCGGCGCGAGGTCGGTCCTCCGAGGACGGGCGTAAGGCCCCGGAAGCGGTCCTCCGATTCTCTATTTCACTCCGACAAACAAATTCTACCTTCTTCTCGGAGCAGACGCGCAAATAGGTTAAGCCGTCGAGGCCGGGCGAAGACGAACGACTCTTTTTCTCGCGTCCTCTTTTTATTCCTCCTCGACTCGCTCTCGTTATCGGACGAAGACACGCACGCACGCACGCAAGCAGGCACGTATACACGGAGCGCACGTCGACCCGTTGGAAGCGTATGCGAAACACGACGAGAGCGTCGAAACTCGTTGATCGAGGCGCGCTCGATCGACGGCCGTCACGTGAATCGGGTATCGTAGCGACTAAACGCGAGCGAACGCGACCGCTTGTATTTATACGCGTCCTGCCGCGGGCCCGACTCTCTTGCTCTCTCTCTCCTCTCTCTCTCTCCCGCTCTCTCGCTCTCTTACTCTCCCACGCGCGACGCATCCCCCCACCTGGTGGCGAACGCGTGCATGGACGAGAGATCCTGCGGATTCTGGTCCTCTCTCATCGTCTCAGGATTCGGAGGAATCCAGTCGACGGCGTCCTTTCAATCCGGCAGGATGCGGACGTCCGAAAAGCATTCTTGAATTTTTCAGACGATTCCGGATTCTTTGCGACGGCCCTCTTGAACGTCTCGTACGTGTCCATTGAACCTTTATTGGTCATCGGTCAGAGCTAAGTCTGATAACCGTTCGATCCGCGGATTTATTTCTTTCCCCCCCACAGGCGGTGATCGTAAACAACGTTACCTCTCTCGCGAGCTCGCATCTCGCGGTTGCATCTCGCGCTAAATGCGGGATATAAGTGCGGACCTTCGACTTTAAATACCGCGGCTTCCAGAAGGACACAAGAAAAGTCGGAACCACGCGCTCTACAGAGGTGTTCATCTCGCACATATTCCTGCCACGTAAAATCAAACGAGTACATGTAGAGACGTACTTAACGAAAGTACTTAACGCGTTTTGCGTTAATTAACTTTAAAATGGTCGCATGTTGCCCACCCAGCCCAGCCGCGTATACAACGCATCCTTCTCTGTCAACTTTTATGAGCTAACTTTTGCGCAATACCGAAAAAGAGGAAAAGAGGGCTCGTACATCGAGAAAAAAACGGTTGAATATACAAAATCGACGGTCACCCGCATTCAAAAAAGTATTATGTTCACTGAACAAATTATGCGTTGGTGCTATAACATTTTATATTAATACAGTTGCTAACCAAATCACAATCGTTAAATCAATCGATAATTCATTACAGTAAGATTTGTGCAGTGGATTAAACGTTGCGTCTGAACGAATTTTGTTTAAGCAAATCTCGTTGATTGACCACTTTTATTCTCAGTGTAGAAGAAATGCGAAAAAAACGCAACCGAAGAATCAAGTTCTCCCGAGTCCGACTAATTATTCGTTTGGAAAGTCTTATTTCTCTCTTGATTCATTTGCTCACTTGAGACGAGCACATGTATCCGAGGTAGACTTTAACCTTTGATCCCATCCGCGAGCGTATTTCAAACTTTGATTGTCGTACCGCGCGTGGTATTGTGCGTGCTCTTTTTATACAGCCATTCCAAGAGAAGCTCTTAAACTGCTCGATTGTATATCGATGGTCCCGGCAACGCGCCGCGATTCTGCCTTAACAAGATAATCTCCAACCGAGTTAATCAATACGATAGAAATCCACCCGACGAGGACGACGAGACGAGACGAGGGATAATAATGGCGATCGAGCGATATAACGAGGTATCGATAATTTCATCGAAAGCATTGTCACGTCAGAAATACCCGGTAATCTTGTGGGAGAGAGAAGAAACTGACGATCGTGTCGTTTAGAAACCATTCAACAATTATGTCACGCTAAGTTTGTGCATTTTCTACTCCCCCTTTCTCTTCGTCACAAAATATTCCCCTCCTTCTAATATTACGTTACATGTGGAATTATCACTTCCCCTCCCCCCTTCCTCCTCCGCCGTAGACACATAGAATAAAATAAAATAGTTTATAATCATATTGTGTATAATACTTATTGGACTATACGTTACTATCTTTCCTAAAATACAAATAATTTTTAGACATAATATCAAATTAACTACTTTATTTTATAATCTAGATCAGTAAAAGTTGTGTTTTTAAAAGAATAAATATTTAAGTTAACATTTACATTAATAACATAAAACTATGTCAAAACTGAAAAATGTTCACGAAATGTAACCAAATGTGGAGTTAATGTGACTTTTCATGGCCTTTACCATTCCTCCTTCCCCACCCTGTTATCGCGGACTATCATGGAAACTAATAGATCCCCTCTTCCCTCGTGGTGTGTAATTGTTGAGTGGCTCCTCATGCACTTTTCTCAGGAAAACTTTCGGACGCTGAGAGCTCGGACAACGCTTCGATTTTAGATCGAAAGTATGGCGCGAGTATCGGCAGACGAATATTGCAATACTTCGTGCATTGCCACCGCGTGGCATCATCACGTGCCTCCATATAGATTTACTCTATCTCGAGTGACTGATAAGACTAATTGATAATGACGATAACGGTCGTGAACGCATTATCGATGAAGGATCCGATCGAAACGAGCAAACAAGCTCTGCGTAAAATAACTCGCGAGAAGCGATTAAGATGAAAGACGGGGGAAAAAAAGATCTCGCACGAGAGTCATTCTCCGTAATTAATCACGGTCGATTTCGCGAGAACAAATGAAGTAGCGGTGCGACTAGGAAGCTTTCCGAGAACGCCGAGCAGAAGCACGTGAGTCTCTGATACTCCAGATATCGCTCGTTTGCTCAAAGCTGCAGACGTTCAAGTCGATTCGCGATATCAGACGGCTGTTAATTCATTTCGTCGGCCGCGAAAGAGATATTTTGTTTTTTCTGCCGATCTCGTCGTCCCATACGTCTTGGCGTCCCACGTGCTCTTGACCCGATTCCCGAACCGACGAGAGAACGACCACACCCGCCCGTGTTTATTCGGGTACTCTTTTAGATTTATGGGACCGCGGCTGTGCATCGCACACGACCGATCGTCATCTAACCCTGAGGGAAGCATGCGCGTGGGTGACACGGTCGACCGTGTCTCTCTGCCTCTTCGACATCTCGCTCTGACGATGAAATTCGCGAGCCGAACGACTTCAACTAACGTTGGAAAGTTCCGACACCAACGCGAACGCTTGTGTTTCCTCTTCCAATAATCCCTTTTTAAACTATCTTTCCTGTATGTATGATTTCCTTCTTAAGCTGCGAATAGAAATAAATGATTTCATTATTTTGCGCGATGAAAATGTTATTTCTGCAGTTATGTCACTTTGTCGCCGCTTCATTATATCGCGTTTTGTCACTTAACGTTTAATTATATTCTTTCCTATCATTACTGCTTTATTATTATGATTATAATTTCATTAAAAGCTTATAATTTTAGGAAACTGACGAAAGTCACATGTATCAAGGTTGGCAAATTTATCCAATTTTGTACCCTAGTTACGTCGACGTCGCCATCGCGCCAGCGGTCCTTCCTGTTTACTCTTATTCTGTGAGGATTAAATTAAGTAGGACGAAAAAGAGGGATTTCTCCGCGAAAACACGGTGAATTTGACAGTTCCGCAAATCAACAGTTCTTTCGCGGAACTTCAATTTAAAAAGAACGTAGCTAGCTTTTACTCGCGAGCTTCGTCGGAGGTAAACTTCAAGTGAACATCGGTCCCTTTTCTTACTATTTCAAATCAACTGCAAAACGAACACGCTTTACAACTTCGTGTTCAAATCAAGAGTTCGTCGTACCGGCCGCTAGACGTATCCCAGATCTACTAAACTTTTAATCGCGCGGAAGAGCCAGCTCTTCCAACAAACAATTGGAAAGACAGAAAAATTTTGTCGGTCGCCAAAATTTTGAAGGAAATAGTTCGTTCGCACGACGTTCTCGAACGCTGTGTTATGTATGCTGTCTCAAGTTCTTGAAACCTTCATCTTAAAACTCCATATATTTTCTGATAGTTCACTCCAGGGCCGGGAACCCGTATGCGAATAGATATGATAAACCTTGAAAGTATCAAGCACGACAAATACTGTACATATTTGGATTGTAAGAACCTCAAAGCGCTCTCGACAAAAATGATCAAATTTCCCGTTAAACTAAGAAAGATCCATCCGTTTCTCGCTTATTCAATTCTCGCTCAACGAGCGATACTTCCTGTATCAGCCCGAAGATAAAACACTCATGACAGAATCCCGAGTTAAACCATTTCATTCCTTATATTTGACGTTACGTGGCGACACATAAGAACGCGCCCACGTAGACCATCGGAAGGAACTACACGCAGCAGAAATTTTCTCGACGAGCGAGATGCGCATTCAGCTTCCGCGAGCGAACGACGACGACGACCAGCACGGGAGGGCCGGCTCTAATTGGCTGAATCGAATTAAGAGTCCAGCACGGTATTTCCATCGCTGCAATTTCGTAATTGGACGCGCGGTCGAATTGACCAATTGTTTCCATCGCGCTGGACATCCATCCGGCTCTCTAGTTAAGCGAAGCCTTCGTTAGGAAAATGCTGTATGTATGGCGGAAATTCCGCTCCTCGCGACGAGCGAGGAAATATCATGGAAACAGCGTCTCTCCTCATAACGACCTTGCTGCCAGACAGCTGATCGCGTTCTCACGCCTACCGATCGATCGTCGTGCGCGAGCGAAAGCCCGATGTGATCGCGAAGTTATCTCTCGACGGAGTCGTCGCGCGAGAAAAATCGGCTTGTAAGAAATCTCGCTCGCTTTCGCGTCCAGTCTCTTTTCTCCGGAGTACAGTACGCTAAAACTGAAAACAAGGCAGGGGGACTAATCCTATAAAAGAAATAATTCGGATTCCACCGGATGTTGAAATACAGTTTACCGAGAAATGCGACTCGGGCAGTCCTTAATTGTGTAACGAATTCAGCTTGCAAAGAACCGAGGAGAATTACGTTAAACTCTCGGTATGAACCGCCGTTAGCGTCACGGTCCTAATCAGATCTAACGGAAAATGCGGCGCAGAGAGTTCTTACCTCCGCGGAGCGTCTCGTTGAGATGTCACTCGCGGAAAGGTGGCTGGCGGTGACGGAATAATTTCGCGCATTAGAGAACTCGAGCCTTTATCAACGAAACGCCCGTTATCAAGCGCGTGTTTGTCATCGAGCTCACGTATCGTGTGACAGGTTTACGACGTGGCCACCGGAATCGCAAGAGACTGTATCTGTTTCCATTCGAGACGCGGCGGGACCAGATCCGTTTCCTTCTCTCGCGCGTCGTATCACGACGTGCCACTAGTGGCCTATTTAGGTCAAAAGATTCTTGTCGTTAT